GCACTAGCCAGTGCGAGCCAGCCCAGCCCGCTCCTGCCTTTCCCACACCTATCCCATAGGTCTGCTTTGGGTGGGAGTGCATAAGGTGGGCCGGCAGCACCCATGGGTGCACAGCACCACTGCTCCTGCTCCCCAACATCACATTCTTTTCTGCACTCCATTCCCCTGCCTCCCGCAGCCCAGAGCTGCCTGCCCATCCTGGGGTTTCCCCCTCTCCCACCAGCTGCTCATGTCCATCCCCCAGGCATGGAAGGGGGGCCAGGACCGCAGCCCATCCCCACCTGGCCCCACCAGCTGCCCCGGCAGCTGGGCTCTGGCCCTGTCTCCCCCTTGGCTACACTTCACTCTGCCCTGGGCCCACGGCTGCAGGAATGTCATTCCCGTCGGCACAAGGGGCCTTTGTGCAAGAGGAGACAGGGTGTGGGGGGCCCAGCCCAGCATCCCAAGCCAGAGCTGGGGAGAGCCACAGCTGAGGGCACGTGGGTGGGCAGCAGCTGACACCGGCGTGGCCCCACAGCTCCCACCAGGCTCCGTGCTGTGTCCACTACTGCAAGGGCTGTCACGGAGGAAAGCCCTCTCCCCATCCTCCTTGTTCCTCTGACACCAGCAGCATCCTGCAGCCACCACCAGCCCATGAAGCAGCACCAACACCAGTACAGAGCTGGTATCGCCTTAGCGAGCCTCGGGACCTGTGCCAAAGGAAGCAATGGGCTCAGTCACCCTACAAGGGGATTGGGAGGCATGGGGCAGGGGCCAGGAGTACCAGGCAGCAGCTGCTGGATTCGGCCTTTTTCAACAGCTGCTGTCTCAGTGCCAGCAGCAGGGAATGTGCACGGGCTGGGGCTTTCCAGGGCCTGGCCACAGTGTGTTAAACAAACTATTTATAGCGCTCACGTCCCTCCTTGGCAGGAATGGCCTGCGTTCCTCCTGCACGGGGGCTGGGTGCTTGGGTGCCACCAGTGTTCCCAACACCAGCACCCTCTGGGGTCCCTGCCAGAACGGTGAGGTCTCCTCAAAGAAAAGACTCTGGCCACCTCCCATCTTCCTCCCCCACCATTTCTGTAAGCTCCTGGTGCTATGCCCAGAGCAAGATTTGCAGCATATCTCGTACACCTTGTGAAGAGTCACCAGAGGGCTATGCCCTTCTTCTCAGCATTCCTGCTCTCTGCTAAATCCTTTGGGGCCTTAATCATGCAACAGCCTCTCTGAGCAACAGCAAGTGCCAACGGCTGCTCTGTCCCTTGTGCCTGCCTCTGAGGCAGCACTAGGGTCTTGCCCTCCCATGACGCAGAGATGCTGTTCTGGGAGCAGTCTGAGTGCTGGCAGGTTGCTCATGGGACAAAGGCCAGGGACCTGGCCCACTCCCAAAGCCTGTGCCAGCTTTGCCTATTGTCTGATGGGGCACAGGACTGCTCAGAAGACATTCCCTCCACCAACGGGCAGCAACAACCAAGAGGAGTTGTACCAGGAGGAAGCACAGCTGTGTCCAGCCCAAAGGCTGGCATGTCCCACACCCATGACCCTCCAGCTGTGCCTCCTACAAGATGGTCTCCCAACAGGTCATCCTCTCCCGGAGGAGACAGAGGCATCGGCTGTCTGGGATCTGTCCAGAGGATATGTGGATTGTGAACCCACCCCTGCTCAGCAGCTAGAAAGAAAGCTTTGAACAAGCCGAATCTCCGGGGCTTTGGGATGGCAGGGAGAAAAGAGGACAGCTCTACACAGTCCTGCCACCACTCTGAGCACAGACCCCTATGTGGGCTGCTTCCAGCCCTGCTCTCATTGCCAGTGCTGCTCCATCCACAGGCTTCCCAGAAACCCACACTGCCCTTGCACTGCCCAGAGACATCTCCTGCTCCTTGTTTGCTTGTGTCCAGATGCTAGCTGATCATCTGAGAGAAGTAAGTGCTATGGAGGGATATACAGTCCCTCTTTGGGCTCAGGAGGTGGATCTCAGCCTTTCCCAGCAATTAAAAGGGACTACTTGGTTGTGCCATTGGTTGATAAACAAAACTGATGCCTCCAAGGAAGCAACCTTCACAGGTACCCAGCAAAACAGAAGTCAACCACCTGGTGAATAATTTTGAGCCTTCCCCATGGAGAGGGATAAACAATAGACAAGAAAAAGTGTTGAGAGACAGAGCAGTGACTGCAGGACCAAAAGGCCTCTGTGGATCAGAGAAGTTACACCAAGGCTCTAAGTGCCTTGGTCCAGGAAATGCACAGGCACAGGAATCTGCTGCCCTAACTTTTGTGTTTGGAAGTAGATACTGGTGTGATTTCATTTTCTTTCAAGGTTGTATTCTTTTCCCAGCTCTGTGCCTTGACAGAGGAGCAGGTTTATGTCTCTTTACCTCCCTGGGCCTGGGCTGTACTTTTGCCCAGCTGTGAATGGAGGCTAAAGACCCTGACCTTCCAGATTCTGCAAGGTCTCTGCATTTCTGGCAAGAGACAAAAATCTGCCTTTTTTGAGTGCCAAGAGCAATTAAGCCCTGCCCTACCTTTTGCCCAGTGCTGGAATGTTGCAAGCATCTGGCTCTCAAAGCAGGGTGAGAGCCTCATGCGTTCCCTCCCTGGGAAGGAACAGGGTTCTGCAGAAGCCACACACTGGAGCCCCTTTGTTCCCAAGGGATTTTCCATCCCATCCCTTGCAACATTACACTTATATGCAACATAGCACTCAAAGGCGATGCCCTCAGGAATGTGCTGCGACACCTCTGCTGCAACATTTTTGCACTTGGCCAGCACCTCCGTTTCCCCATGGGACTGGAGGACAGGATTCCCCCAGCAGGGATGGTAGGATGTTCAGTTCCCCCAGCTCAGGCAGGGCTTTTCCTAGGAAAAGGCTCCCAGGGGAATAAGATCTCCACTCTTCTCCATCACTGTGGTCACTAACACTGATCTGGGGTGCTGCACTTTTCATCTCAGTGGTTCCCAGCCTGCTCAGAGGTATGACACTGCAAGGGCCCACTGCACAGGGAGACGATATTCCCACTGGGGTTGTACCGCTGGGGAAGTCGAGGCACCAAGCGAGGCACTGACTTACCCGGGATCAGCCGCAGCATAGTGAACCCAAGAGTCTGAAGAACAGGCCAAGCATTGCACCCACTGCCTCCCTGATCAAAAGGGAGAAGCTCCCTCCCAAGGAAACGTAAACCCTGACACAGCTGAAGCAAAGCTTTGGCTCCTGCTTCCTTTGTCTGAGCTCTTCCCACTCCCCGTACCACCATCGGCATGGGGCTGGTGGCAGCACATGGCAGAGCAGTGCGCCTGCGCCAGGGCCCTCCGACCATGGCAGACCTGGAGTCCGGGAGCCTCCAGGAGGCCACTCTCAAGGGGCTGACGTCAGCCCCGGTCCTTGAAGCTCTGGGGCTGTCAGCGAGCTGTTTCTGGTTTCAGCACATGGTGTCCCTGTGCTGAGGCACGGCCAGCCTGCTTTCCTCATCCATGGCTGGCTCCCTGAGAGCAAACTGTGGGGCTGGGAAAGGTCACCCTGGCTGAACCAACCACCCTTGGATGGGATGCACTGGGCACGGGACAGCTTACAGCAGGCTGGCAGGGAAACGGAGCAGTAGCTTTCAGTCAGTCCCTTGTGTCTGTTCATTCTCCTAAATTCTTCTTGAGTGAGAGCCAAGAGTAGGGACTTGGCAGGGCTTTTGAAGGGAACAACAAGGGAAGGAAATGAAGACAGACAGCCATCAGGAACAAAACAAAGGTTAGGAGCAGGAGGGAAGTGGAAGGGCATAGACGTGACCATGGACCTTCCTGCCTGTACCCTCACCCTGGCTAGCTTGTGCTCCCCTGCCTGCTTGCCGCAAGCTAACTCAGCTTGGGAGCACAGCTGGAAAGCATGGGATACTGCTTACCATCCTGCTCTGGAGCCCCATATGGAGCCAGATCAGAGCTCTTTCTCAGGGAAGTACCCATCTGCTCCTCAGGATGTTGTGCCATCCCTTGCCCACTCTCTTGTTGACCCACCTGGCCTGCATTCCTGGCCCTTGTGGGAGCAGGATGGCAATTGCTTGCACTTGCAGGGAATTACAGGCAAGTGTATTTTGGACTCAGCTGCCTGCCCAAGGGCTTCAGCAGACCTGTAGTGAAACAGAACTCCATCCTGCCAGCCCACATTTCTGTGGTGGGCAGATGTTGATCCTCCTTCACCCCCTTTCTTTCTCCAGTGCTGCCACCCCAACAAATGGGGTCTTGGCTGCTAAGCAGTATCACTTACAGAGAACATGTGTCTAGCCTGGGAGGAGGGGCATTTAAATGGACAGCTGGGGTTTTTTGTTGTTGCCCCTTGCTCTGGAGCTGTTCCTGACATTTGGGCTGGTGGCAGATCCACGTTGGGGGTAGCTGAGCCGTCCAGGCTCCTCTGGGAAAACGGCCTGAGCAGAGGAAGCAGAAAGGATCCCAGGGAGGGTAAGAGTGACCAGGGCAAGAGGTGGGCAGCAGTTCCCTCCAGCGCATCTCCCTTGAGCCTGCCCCAAGCAGCGCCTCACTCTCAGGGGGGTGCACACCCCCCAGGATCCCTCTCGGCTCAGAAGTTCCGAAACGTGAGGAGCTGTCGGGCACCCCCCGCTCCGCCAGGTCAGCTCGGGGGTCTGACGGTGCTCCCGCAGGCCCGGGGGGCAGCATGCCCGCCCCTCCGCTGGCCGCCCCGCTGCTGCGCGCCCTGCTCGCCCGCCTGCTGCCGCTGGCCCGCCGGCGCCTGCTGCCGTCGCTCCGCCGCCTGGGGCGCCGGCTGCGCTCCCGGGAGAGCCGCCAGGCCCTGCTCACCTGCCTGCTCTGCCTCCTCAACCTGCGCAGGAAGGCGGACGATTGAAACCTGCCGGGCACGAGCAGGGACGGGACGGGAAGGGACGGCACCGCCCGGGCAGGGCAGGGCAGGGCAGGGCGCCGCGCTTCCCCCCCGCCTCCCCGGCCCGCCGCGGGAGGAGGGACCGGGCAGGGAGGGGACGCGCCCCGGTGGGGGCGGAGGGTCCGCCCCAGGCAGCCGAGGCGGGACGGCCGCCCGAGCCTCGCCGCTCCGGCCATGGGAACTGGGCCGCCCCCCGCCCCGCTGCCCCCCGCCGCGGGGCTGCCCCGCTGCTGAGCGCCGCCGCAGCCGCCCGCCCCGGCGAGGGAGCCGGCGCCGCCCGGGCGATCTCCATCACCCGCTGTCGCGGGCGGCGGGGGCCCCGCACTGCCGCTTCGCACCACGGTGCCCGGGCCGGGGCTCCCACTGTCCGCAGGCGGCAGCGGGGAGGGCGAGGATGTCGGGCAGCACGGCGAGAAAAGTGCAGCCCTTCACGATCAGCACCAGGCTCTCGCTGCCCAAGTGTGCCGCCGACTTCCCCGGGGCCGCCTGCCCCGGCATCGCCCTCGCCTCCGCGCTGGACAGCCACCGCGGCCTCCGCCGCAGCATCAACGAGCGCATCTCCCTCTACCTGGCCCACGCCCGGGCCGGCCCCGCCGCCCCCGCGGAGCAGCCCCGCAGCCCCAGCCCTGGCGAGGACGGGGGCACCGACGAGGACCGGCTGAACCGCAACTCCCTGGCCCGCTCCATTAAGAAGATCACGCTGTCCAACTGGTACGGGGAGGCTGGCGCGGGGAACGCGGGGAGACCCGGGGACCCTGCCCGGGTCGGCAGCGAGAGGAACCACAACAACAACAACAGTAGGACAGGGAAAGCTCAGTTCAAGGTAAGCGATCGCAGTACCTGTACCCTGCTCTCTCCCCGTCTTCCTTGCAGTTCCCCATTCCTGACTGCCAAGGGATGGGTAAGTCCTGGAGAGTCTGCGGCCATCCCTGCTTTCTTGTCCCCATGCCGTCAATGCAGCACTCGCTGCAGGGCTCTTGGGGTAGTTGTTTTTTCCTCCCATGTGCCCCCCGTGCGCTTCTCTGTACCATCAGGGTAGAGGTCTTTGTGGGTGAGTGGAGATGAGCTTTCCCCAGGGCTTACATAAGCCAGAAAAGCCCTGCCCCAGAGCCTGGCTACGGAGGGCTCAGCTCTTGGAATGCCTGTGATGATGCAGTTGTGTGTGGGGAGCTGGGAACTTGTTCTCCCATTTACCAGAGGGGAAACGGAGGCTAGGAGAAGGGAAGTGACTCATGAAGGGCCACACAGCCAGGCAAATCTGGGACAAGGCAAGGAACGTGACCCAGGGCTGCCGGCACCTACTCCAAGTCTGAGTGCCTAGCAGGCACAGAGGTACAAATACATCAGTGCCAGAGCCCAGGAGCCCCCTGTGTGGCTGGGATGGAGCAGAAGACAGCTCGGAGACCTCACCATTCCTGGCAAGAGCAAGCAGGAACTCCTTGGGCTTTAACCCTGACCTGCAACAGCTGGTTTCCCAGAAGGATAGCGCTAGGGAGAGCTACACAGCCCACTGCCAAAGCCCTCGTCTTCATTGCCAATAAAGGCCAGGCACAGCCTCGCAAGAGCTGCCGCTTCCTCCGGCACGCAAGCAGCTCCTCGCTGGGTGGCTGGAGTCTGCGCAGCCCAGGGGGCATCGGCATGAGGGCTCCCCTCTTTCATATAAGGTAGGGGCATGTGCTGGGCACGGTGCTGTGGGACTCTCAGGAGGCTGCCTGGATCGGTGCCTCCTCCCTGTCCAGCATGAGCGTGTGGAGCTGGAAGAGGGGGGCAGGCTGAAAGATGAAGCTTTGGGAGGGAGAGAGCGAGCCAGAGCTCAGGGGAAAACGTGGGATGACAGCCAGAGGAGAGAAGGATGCTGTATCCCACACAGGGCACAGTAGTGCTTTGCCAAGTGTGCCCCCCAGCGTGTGGTTCCGCCCTTTACTCCTGCCCTGTTAGGAATAAGGGGCTCCTCCAGGATGAGCACAGTGCAACCCAGGAGGGTCTGGCCCTGCTCTTCTTGCTTGTGGGAAGTCACTGGCACCTACTCTTCTATGGGAATGCAGCAAGCATATGTGCTGTGTTAATTTTACTTTTAGAAAGGAAAGGAAGCATTTGCAGAGGAGGCAGCTGAGGCTGCTGCACTCATTTCACATGTGGCTTTGCTCATATTGTGAAGCCTGGGGTCCTGCTGGGGAGCACATAGCACAGCACCTCACAGATGCAAAGGCAGGCACAGCTCCTTCTCCCAGCCTTCAATTGCTGAGAGAGTTTGTTGTTTTGCTGGATCGAGGACCCAGCTCCAGCCAGAGGGACCAAGGAGGGGGGGCGGTCCTGGTGGAGCAGCTCTGCGGGAAGGATGAAGTCATCCTTTTGCTGGCAGCCCTGTTTTCCTGCGGCTGACGGATCGTGAGACAGGGACTTTAAATAAAGCTCCTGTGTCACCTGCAGGGTTGTCTCCCACGGCTGAGCCATGGTGGCCGTCATGGGACGCTACTGCCTAGCAGAGGGGCTTTCTAGGGTCTTATGCCTCACAGGCACTTCACTTTTAGCTCTCTGTCATTCCCTAAATGTGCATCCAAACCGTGGTCAGGCAGGAGTGTGCCTTCCCCTTCTGGTACCCTCCTTCTGAGTTCTCACTGTGCCTGCTGAGCTATGATTCAGCCTCATGCTCTGCCTGCTCTTCCTGCTTGGGATGGGATGATGTGGCATGGTGCAATGGTCTGTCCTCTGCAGCCACCAGCTAGGCTTTGCAGGTCCCTGGAAAGGTGCAGTGGTGCTGTTCTCCAAGGGGTTATAGGGCTGTTGGGATGTTTGTGGGGCTCTGAGCCTTTCTGGTGGCAGCAGCTCTAATGTTGGGGGCTGCCATCCATGTTGGGACTCTAATGCAGTGCTGCAGAGATGGTAGGAAGCCACATTCTGTGCAAGCAGGAAGTTCTGATTTGCCTGGGTTGGTTCCCTTTGGACAGTGTCCCCAGTTTGCAGTGGCCTGAGCGATGGTTGGCTGGCTCTGGCTGATCCAGTACCCCATTTGCTGCCACCTCAGAGGAGGGTGTGTTGGAGCAGCAGACACTGCCCACCACCCTGTTCGTGTTGCCCTGTGCATGCTTGGGCGGCTGTTAAGACAGAGACAGCAAGGTGGCCCCAGGGAGGGAGTGGAAGGAGATTCCTAAATTGACCTGCTGTATCCAACAGCCCAAGAAAAGATCCATCTGTAAAGGATGAGACTTAATGCCCTTGGGCACGATCCAAACAATCCCACGCACCTCTCCTCCTGGGGCTGGGCTACATTAAGAATAAGGTAATGTGGAGTTCATCCTGGACCTCCTGTCTTTGTCTGGCTGCAGTTCCTGGACTTCCTCCTGCCTCTCCTGCTTCCATCCTCACTCCTGTCCTGTGGGAGCCCTTCCCTGCAAGCCAGCTGCCCCCTTAACTCTTGTCTCCCAGCTAGGCTGAGGTCAGGGATTGGTAACTGAGAGGATTCAGGCTCATGATGATGGAATTAATGTCCTCCTGTGCCCTCGTGCCTCTGCCTTCCTCTCCTGGAGGAGGCCAGGGGAGTCTCTCCCTGAGCATCCTTAGATGACCAGAGACCAGTGGTGCTGACTAAATGGGTTTCTGCTGGCTTTGGGGTCAGTTCAAGGGGGACAGTGGGAGCTAAAATGGAGAAGGTGCTGGACAAATCAAGTTGAGGAGCTCTTGCCACTCGCTGAACCTGTGGCAGGGGCTGTGGATCCCATTCAGAGGAGCCTGGCCTAGATGCCTAAGGAGGGGTGGGCAAGAGCCCAGCCAGGCAGTGTCTGGGTACTGCCAGCAGCTTCCTCTGGCCCAGGGCAGGGGGAGGTGGGTGCATGGTCCTCTGTCCTCTGCAGCTGCTGGGATGGTTGAGCACTACCAGGCTCAAAGCTGTGCCTTCCTGCCTCTAGGTCTTCCTCAGGAAGGACGTGGATGCAGAGAACGAGCAGCAGGAACCTGGGAATCTTCAGGCCAGTGTTTTCTGCTCTCCGCTGGACAGATGTTCTCCCTACTATGCGGTATGTCCCTCTGCCCTCACCATTTAGAGGGGCCTGACACACAGCTTGGAGCTGAGCAATGAGGCAGGTTGCTGGTGCTGTGCCCAGGTGTGGATGGAACCTCACCTCTTTCAGTGAGTGAGGGGCAACCTGGGCATTATGGGGCAAGGAGTCAGCCCCTGGCCAGCACTCACAGGTTTTATTGCTTCTGAGGGAGCCAGATTATGGGCTCCTCCAGCCCTGATCAAGTCAAGAGATTAAAGATCCCAGAGCTGTAGGAGGGCCTGAGAATCTGTGTTGCTATTAAAAAAAAAAAAAAAAAAAAAAAAAAAAAAGAGGATTTCTGTAGTTCTTGTGGTTAGGCAGAGCAGACTTTGAGAAGTGACTCTCATGCTGTCAGCAGGGCAGCACATGCCAGAGTGCTTAGAGAGCCTGAAACAGTTGCCTGAACCCCACTGCTCCGCACGCTCCTGGGAATTTGCATCCTGGTGGTCTCAGAGGCAGGTGGGACACTGTGGGGCAGCTCACACCCAGTCCTCTCAGGGTGGGAGGGCTGTCCCAGGCTGACCCTAGGAGCAATTTCTGCCTGGTGAGAGGAGACAGCAAGCCCTGCACCTTTGGGTTCCTCCTAAAGATGCTCAGTTTCCTGTTTACCACCAGTTAGTGTGCAGTCAGATCCCCATTCCTGGGCAGAAGGGTGGGAAGTGAGTGCCCGGGTGATGGTGCCGTCCCCTGGGCTGTGTGCAGCTGGGGCTGGGGCTGAGCTTGGACGAGGGCCAGCACTTTCACTGGCTGACCTTTGATGTCACCCCTGGCAGAGCTGGAACCCTGACAGAGGGTTTCATCAGCATCAACTCCCAAGGGAGACGCTCTGCTCTCTGCCCCCTCCAACCACTCACTGGGAATGGGGATCTTGGATGTCCCCAAAGGAGTGGTAGGTCTCATCAGGGACCTGCCCCATGGCCTCTCCATCCCATGCCCGGCATCATCCATCAGCGTGGCACCAAAGGGAAGCTGCAGACATGAGTGCTCCTCTCAGGGATGCGCAGCCTCAGGCTGGAGGGGCAGCAAGTGCTGCATCCACCTCTAGTGTCGGTGTGGGGACCAGCCCAGGTGCTGGATTGATCCAGGGTTGAGGGACAGCCCAGCAACTCCCTGCTGGGGTTCCAGTGTGGCCTTGGTAGAGGGGAACAGTGCTGGGGGAGAACCCCAAATAACGTTGCTAAAGGAGTGGGATCAAGGACAAGGCATGCTGAAGTACTTTATTTGCAAAATGCTCCTGGGAGGTGATGGGGAGGGCTTTCTGGGGCATCACACTGACACCCCCCATGCCCCACCGCCTCTGCTCTCCCCAGCTGGCAGCATCCCCAGTGTCGTCACCCCAGAAAGAGAGTCCCAAGGGCAAGGAATCCGCTGCAGCACTGAGATGCAGTGGGCGAAGCGCAGTGGGAGCAGCCCTCCTCCTCGACCCGAGTCCTCTGGTAGCCCAGTTCAACCGGGAGATGCTGCAGGTGAGGCCAGCCTGGGCCCTCGCCCAAGGGGCTGCATGGGAAGTGGGATGGGGGGGCCACCGGCAGCCTTTCATGTGAGCTGTGGGGTGGGGTGCTCAGCAGGGAGGGTTGAACTCCCGGCCCCGAGCGAAGCCATGGTTGTGGCATGAGATCATGTTTGGCTGCCTCTCCCTGGCTGTCGGCCCCAGGGAGAGGGGGTCAGCCCACACCAGGGCCCTGCTTCCTCTCCATGTGCACATGCTCCTCCCAACCCCCATCCTCCTCCTCCTCTCAGATCATGTCCCTCCCCAGAAGCGTGGGAACCCGAGGGGCAGGCTGCTTCCATGCCGTGGTGGGGAGAATGCATGGAGGTTTGCAGTGGGGAGCAGAGTGCAGGGAGAAGAGATGCTTTGTGCAGGGATGTTCTGCACAGACTGGCCTGCTCGAAGGGGACTCAGCTTCTCCTGCTGGGCTAAGGCAGATGCTGGAAAGAAGTGAGATACTACTTGCCATGGATGCTGTCCTGAGCACCTTTGCTGGCCTGTGGGTTCTCAGAGCAAATGGGTTGTCAGCTGAAAGGGTGCACTCCTGTCCCTGTCCCAGTTAGGGAGGGTTTGGGCTTGGGTTCCCAAAGCCATGTCCTTGAGGCTCTGGTGGAGGCACCCAGCCATGTGGCTCTTCCTACATTGCAGGCAGAGGGCTGGGTGCGAGGCAAGCTGCGGGACCTAAAGGATGGCTGCGACCTCCAGGACTTGGAGGAGGTGGCTCAGACCTTGCAGCGGGACATGAAGGATTTTGAGAACACGCTGATAAAGCTCAACCAGGTAAGGCCAGGCTGTGGCACGGCTCCTATTCCCCACAGCACCTGTGTCCCTGCTGCATTCTCTGCAGTAGAGGGTCCCTGGGAACCCCTGATGCTGAGCAGGTCCCTTGGCCCCACAGATGGGCGAGCAGCTGATGTGGCAGGCAAGCCCCAGTGCTGAGGCAGTGCGGAGGCAGCTGCTGGCCCTGCAGGACCAGTGGCAGCTCCTGAAGCAGACAGCTGCCAGCCAGAGCAAAGCCCTGGGTGGGCTACGGAGTCTGCAGGACTTCAACAGGAAAGCTGAGCGGCTGGAGGCGTGGATCAAGAGCAAGGTGAGGGGGTGAGAAGCACAGTCTGGGGAAGGGGACAGTCTGGCTGTCCCTCCACCTTCTCACAACTTCCCCTGGCCCAGGAGGAGAAGCCGTCTCTGCCAGCCCTCCTGCAGGAAAGCCCAGACAAGATCCAGCTCACCCGCCGCATCCTTGACTTGAAGCAGGTGAGAGGCTGCTGGGGGGCTGCCAGCATGTGATGGACCCTGAAGCTCCTAAGGCTGGGGCATAGCACAGGTCCCTGAGGAGGGCTGCTGATGTCTTTTCTCTCTGCTCGGGCCAGGAGGAGCAGCAGTTTCAAAGTCTGCATAAGGAGCTGAACAGCCTGGCCCAGAAGCTGGAGAAGCAAGGCAAAAGTGAGAGCAGGAACATCTCAGCCCGGCGCAAGCACCTCAACAAAACGTGAGCGGAGGACACATGGGCTGAGCAGGACCAAGTCGAGCACCAGGAGCTGACAGGCTGGGAAGCAGGACCCCCCCAAACCTGTTGGCCCAGCTCTGCACAGCTCCCCATATAGTCACAGGCTGCCATTCACTTTTCCTCTTCCACCTGCACAGGTGGCTGCGGCTGCAGGGAACCCTGAAGGAGCACCACGAGGCTCTGCAGCTGGCCCTGGAGGTGTCCGCCTTCTTCCAGCAGGCGGATATCCTGCTCGGGACCATTCATGCAAAGGTACCCTCACTGGAGCCAGGTGCTCCCTGCTATGAAGGGCTTTTGCATGGCCTGAAGGAAACTTGGTGGGCAGCACCTTGCCCTTCTCCCCTGTGTGGGGGCTGCTGCGGTCCCAGCACTCTCAGCCTGAGGCTTGGAAAGGGAACTGGGGAATGGAGCCTCATATAAGAAGGGGAGCCAGAGTGGCAAGAGTGGCTTTGCATGGTGCCTTTCTGCTGGAGCTGAGAGCGGGGCCCCGTCCTCCTCACACTGCTGACTGCAGCCTCTTCTTACAGCACAGCAGCATCTGTGGTGCAGGGAAATCAGTGGAGGGTGTGCCATGCCAGGATCGGGATGTCAGGGACATAGCCAGCCAGGTGATGGTAAGTGCAAGGCTCTGCCTCATCCTGTGAGCCCTGGGGAGCATCCCAGTGGAGGTGGGATGTGTGCCTTCCCAGGTCAGCTCTGCCTCTAGCAGGGCTGGGGACCCTGTGGACACCCCACAGCTGTGTGGGTGGCTGAGGTTGTGTGACAGGTGGGGGAGCCTTCACAGGGATGGCAGAGGACTGGTCTTGGCACTCACTGCCTCTCCTGCCCCCACAGGACCGGTGGTGGTTCATCCTTCATGAGCCCTGCCTCCATCACTTCCCAGCTGCTCTCTCTTCTCCAGATGCTGGATGTGACCATGTCCCAGCTCCTCAACCTGCAGCCCAGCCTGGCAGCCCAGGTCACCTCAAAGCACCGAGATGTCAAGGAGAGCTGGGCACAGCTCCAGCAGGCACTGAGGTAGAGCATAGCCAGGCAGAAGCCCCATGGCTGCAACCCCAACCCCCCAGCACCGGAGCCAGAGGCTTGGGAAAGAGCTGGATTAGCCCCTGGCAGGCTGTCCCTTGGGCACCAGTTCTATTTAAGGTGTCTATTCATCCTCTGCCCCACTGGTCCTCCCTTGCTTCCCTTTCCCAGGTCAGAGAAGGCTCCAGCACAGGCAAGCATTTCCACGGGGAGCAAAGCTGTGGCTCTGAACACTGACCCCCGAGGAGATAATAGTAGCCATGGGACTGTGGGAAAGGAAGCAGGAGCCAAATGGACAAGAGGACTTGGGAGCATGGTAAGCCTTGTCTTCCCCCAGACGTCTCCTGTGCTTTCACTTCAAGAAGACATGGAAGCCTGTGGGAAAGGGATTCAGGTGTTGGGAAAAGCCCAAGCTGAACACACCTGGAACTGGTACCACTGCTTATGGGAGGTGATAAGTGCTAGTCCGAGGGCAAAGCGGTGCATGCTTTGGGCTGGACAAGAAGAAATGGGAGCCTTTGTGTCACAGGTGGCAAAAGATGTGCTGGGGAAGATGGCGGAGCACAAGAGAGGGGAGCAGAGCAGCCCTGGCTCCCCAGTGGGACAGCCCCCTCATAGAGGGGACAACAAAAGGTACCAGCTTGTGGGAGTGGCTGTGGGAGTGGCATGGAGTCAGAGGGAACAGGGATGAGGGTCTCCTGGGCAGGGGGGGACCTTGCAGTCCTGACTGTCCCTCTCCTCTCTCTGCAGGAGGAGAGAGGCAGAGTCTGAGTGGGGAATGCAGCAGCTGGAGGATGTCTGCCAGGCAGTGAACGCAGTAATGTCTCCCCCAGAGTTCCCTTTGCTCCCTGCGCATCCACCTCCCCTGTCAGGGGAGACAGTGCTGAGGGAGGACTCACTTCCCTGACCCCTTCCTATCCCTGGTCTGGGCACTAACCCAGCATGTCTCCCTGCTCCTCAGCAGACTCTGTCCCCGTACAATGAGAGTGTGGGTCCTGGAGACTCCCCGTGTCCTGCGGAGAGCCTGAAGGCAGCACGGATACAGCAGAAGCCCCTGGACCACAGCTCCAGTGTCAGGGCTGTGCTCCTGGTGAGTCCCCTCGGGTGTGAGGTGGGGTGTTGACACCAGGTGGGGCCCATCCTAACTGCCCTCCCTGCCTCCCAGGAGGGGCAAACACCGGGGAGGCCCCCAGGGAGCCCAAAGGTGGAGGCCATGCTGCGAGAACTGGGGGAGTTGTGGGAGGACCTGCAGAGGAAGCACCAGGAGAATGGCATCGTGCTGCAAGAAATTGATAAGGTACCTGGAGGCAGGGCTGGACTGGGCACGGGGTGTGCCCCAATAGCAGCAGCTTGCTTGGCATCAGCAAGTGAGGCTGGTGCCATGGGGACCAGAGCTGCAGCTCTGGCACCAACGTCTCTGGCGGGCCTTGCAGCCTGCATGCTGCTCCAGTTTTGCTGCCCGAGCTGCCAGTGCTCCCGGTACCTGCAGTGGGGTGCCAGCATGGCTCCTGCTTCCCCTGGGTGGCTCAGAGCCAGGCTGATGGGCTCCCTGCTCTCCCTGAAGGCACTGAGGCTGGTGGGGGAGCTGGACCAGGCTGAGCGGTGGCTGCAAGCTGTGGGAGGGTCGCTCTCAGAACCAGCCGCCATGAGAAGCCCGGCGGAGCTGCGCCAGGACCTGGAAGAGATGGGCCAGCTGGAGAAGCAGCTCCTGATGTGTGGCCTCAAGCTGCAGGCACTGCGGGAGGAAGCAGCAGGAGAGTCACCCACTGAGCACGAGGGGGCGAGGAAGATGCAGAGGAAAGTGGAGCTGGTGGAGGAGAAGTGAGTCATGGGAGAAGGTGCCTCTTCCCTGGTCCCTAGGTTGGGTGGCGAGGAGGCTGCTCACCTTGAGGAGGGGCAGAGAAGCACCCGATGAGGTGTGGGGAGGAGGATGCTCTCCCTGATGAGGTGCAAAGGCTGCCAGCACCTCTGATGGGCATCTCTCCCCACAGGTTGGCACATGTGCAGGCAGCCCTGCGGCGCCGGGCAGCAGACCTGCGGGACTCCCTGGTGCTGTCTGAGTTCCTGCAGGACCTACAAGAGGAGGAGGCACAGAACCAGCAGGGATCTGCAGCGGTGAGCAGCATGGCCAGGAGTCCCTTGGGATCACACAGCACCTGGGACTGGACCAAGGGTTGGTCTGTGGCTGGCGAGGTGACCCTGTTGGGTGCTCCCCTCCAGCCCAGCTGCCTGGGGTGTCACTCCCCATCTCTCTTACGCCTGGTGTTGTTTCTGCTGGCTTCAGCCAGGGAGCAGGTGTCGTGGCTTGCAGGGGTCTTTTCCCCTGCTGTCAGCCCAGGCTGAGCAGCCTCCGAGCAGCGAGGACATGAGCAGCCCCTTGGGACAGCTGCAGGAGGCTGTGGAGATGCTGAATGATGCAGCGAAGGAGCGGGAGCGGGTCATGGAGGTGGCAGCGGAGATGGAGAGCCTGGAGCGTCTGGTAGGGAGTGGAGGTGGGGGGTCTGGGGATGCAAGTGGGTGGTCCAACTGAGCTTGGCATGCCAGCTAGTTGGGACAGGGCCTGCAGCTTAGCTGTTCCAAGTGGGATGCATGGGAACCACTCTGTGCGAGACTGGTGTCCCTGTCTCTCCCGTGGCTGGCACCTGCCCTTTTGCAGGTGCATGGCAGGGTGCCTCCAGGGTGGGGTGGGCCAGGGCTGTGGGGCAGCTGGTGACACTGTGGGTCCCGCACCGGGCCTAATCTCCCTCTGTGTCCCCTCCTGCCCATCCAGGTGGCAGAGGTATCCCCGCAGCTGGAGGCCCTTCGATGCAGAGCCAAGGTGTTGGCTCAAGACATTGCTCAGGCAGAGAGCGGCTTCACCACGGTGAAGAGCGAGAAGGACCTCCAGGGGCTGCAGGGCTTGCTGAGCCGCCAGCAGGAGATGGAGGTGAGTCAGGGGAGCACTGTGGAAGGGTGGTGTCCTGGCTGACTGGGGCCGTCCCAGTGAGGCACTGGCCCCTGGGGGCCCAGGTTTCGTAAGCCTTGGAACACTGTGGCAGGCCAGGCTGGAATTTTCCAGTGGAGCCAAGCCCTGCCCTGCTCCGCTCCCCTCTGCAAGCACAGGCCAGGCAAGGGGAGAGAGCTTGCATCAGCTGCTATGTACCAGCACCCAGCTGCCAGCACCTTGTTCGTCTTCCCACTGGTGGGGAAGCAATTCTTGAAAGCAGGGCAGGGAAGCCAGGCAGTTCTGTGCTCTGCCTGTTCTCCCCACTGAGGGTAGCTCTGCCCTGTCTCTGCAGCCTGCGTGCCAACATCCTCCCCTCTGTCCCTGCATCCTCCTCTCTGTCCCTACACCCCAGAATGCAGGAGAGTCCAGCCTGGGTGCAGAGGGGTTGGATGCATCCTGAACCTTTTCTGCCTTGTGATCCTTAGCATGCAGTGTCAGACACCCTGCAGGGACAGCTGGAGGAGCTGGAGAGGGCAGCTGCCCGCTTGCAAGAGTTGTGCCCCACTCAGCAGTGCCCCACCAGCCGGGAGGTGCAGGAGACGCTGTGGGCCTGGGCAGGGCTGCGAGAGCTGCTGCGGGAGACCCGGGCCCGAGTGCAGCAGGCCAGCCGGCTGCGGCACTTCTTCAAGGATTATTTAGCCATGATGTAAGTGGCAGTGAGCCGTCTGGGCTGCTTCTGTGGTGGTTGAGGAGGAGCTGGTGAGAGCATGGCATTGCTGGAGCAGGGGCTGCTGGCAGTGCTGGAGCTGTGGCCAGGCATGACCGTGGGGAGCCTAGAATGAAGGTCTGTGCTGGGGCTGCTTGCTATGGAGCAGCCCTGCAGCATCTTGCCCTACCCCAACAGACTTGCCACTACCCCAGCAATCTGCTTCCACCCATTTCTGAGCATGGGAATTGCTTCTCTGGGGCCTGCAGGGCTGAAGACGGGCTGGGTTGTTCCTAAAACTGTCTTTCATGTGCCCACAGCTCCTGGACAGAGGACACACGGGCTCAGATCTTCTCTGAAAGCCCAAGCAGCCCCAGCCTCCCAATAACTCCATGTGAAGAACTGGAGAGGAGGATCGAAGAGAAGCTCAAGGAGTTTGAGGCACTGGCAGCATCAGGGCAGCAGCTGGTGTCTGAGGAGCACTACCTGAGTGCAACAGTAAGGATGGGGAAATAGGGTCAGGGGAAACTCTCAGGGTAGCCTCCAAATCCTCTGGAGACAGTCCCTGAAGGAAAGCTATGGGTGCAGAGCCCCAGCAAGTGTGATGGGGATAGCTGTGCATTCCTGGGCCTGCTCAGGGCAGGAAGGAGTTTCATCCAGCAGTGGATGCTGAGACCTGAGCTGATTTGACTGTGACTGTATCCCACTTCCCAAACCCTCTTAAACTGCTCCGTAGTGAGGTATCCTGGTAGGGCCCATGTCCCTGGGCCAGGAGTCCTTGCAGGCTGCCCAGCATCTCTTCTCCACTCAGATAAAGGAGCGCTTGGAGGAGCTGCAGAGCATGCTGGGCTGGGTGCTGGTGCGCTGGCGAGCACAGAGGCACCAGCAGGACCTGGAGAGCAAGCAGGAGGACAGGAGGGACCCAAAGAGCCCATCCCTTACCAGCCAAGTGAGTACCCAGACATGTCGAGACTTTCAGGGAGCATGACCAGCCTTGAGGCTGAGGGTAGCAGAGGCACGGGTTGGAATGGGTGGTGCAGAAGTAGAGGAGGGATATGTACCTATACTTCTGAGAGTCTCTGAGGTTCAGGCAGGCCAAAGGCTGTCATAAGAAAGGGCCTTCCTTCACATTCCCTCTCTTCCCTTGCTCCCCAGGAGCAGCACACCTCATGTGCACTGTCCCATCTGGAAAGCATCCACAGCCCAGTGGAGTTCATGCCCTGCTCCCTCCTTGAGCCTGTGCAAAGTTCAGAGCCACAGCAGCCAGGGAGAACAGCCATCTCCACGCTGGCATCGCCCCTCTCAGATGCCCCATCAGGAGTGGAGCAGAGCCGGGGGACTCCCAGCAGCAAAACACCTCATGGTGCAGGACCCTGCAAGGAGCCTGTCACCTGGGATCCTGCTGAGACCTCCACACTGCTGCTGCCACCGCGGGGCCCCAGTGGTCTCGGGGGGACGGTCAACCTCATCCTCAGTGTTGGCAAGAAGGGTGAGAAGAAGAAGGCACAGCTGCTGGCCAGCGGCGAGCGGCCAGGGGAGGAGGCACTGCAGACGGTATGTGCAGGATGGTAGGCGGCTCTGGCAGAACCACGGGTGAGCACCCAGTGCTGCTCCCAGGGCTGGACACTGCCACACAGCCGGGGCAGCTCTCCAGAGCTGTGCCCCCATGCAGACCGGGAGGCTGTGAGGGCTGTGGGGTAGCTCCCAGGCTTCAGGCCATTTCTAAGCAAGCTATTGGGGCTGTGACAGTCTCAGGAAAGGGGGCTTTGACCATGCCAATGCTGCGTGATGCCTGAGGGCTGAGGACCAGCTTGTGCCATCCACTTTGCCTGTGCTCCCCTGCTGCAGCTCCTTGCCCACACTGCCCTCAACTCTCTGTGTCTCTCTCTCTCCCCCTGCTCAGCTCCCCACCACTAAACCCTCAGGCTGTAAAACCTTTTGGAAGCGTTGCCAGGGGCTTTTAGGAAACACTTGGGGTAGTTTAAAGCGAAAGAGAAAGCCACCTCACCAGCCAGTGGAAGAGGTAATGTTCCAGGGAAGGCTGCATGCTGGGGAGAGTGGCTGCATGGCATGAACCTGCCTGCTACCAACCCTCCTTGCCATGCCACTGTGCCCTGTAGTGGTCCCTCAGAAGAGGGAAAACCCTCATGGTGCTATGGGCTCCAGAGTGTGGGTGCTGGGGCATGTGAGGAGGGGGTTCAGACAGGGCTGGCTGCAGTTTGGCCCCCTGTGGATGGTTTTGGTGGCTGTGGAGGGCACGGCACACTGGTGGCCAGTGGGAGAGCCTCACAGCTCCATTGCTATGGGGCAGCAGCAGTTCCTTGTGCAGAGGACTGAAGGGGGAGCAAGGGTGGGTGGGGCCGTGTGATATGCATCTTTTGCCGGGGGTGGGTTTCACTCCAGCTTGCATGGCTTGTAATGCCAGAGCTGGGAGCCTGGTGATTTGTTCAGGCTTGCATCCATTTGTTGCTTCAGAGCCTGTGCTGAAGGCCTGTGTGTGAGGAACCCCAAGGGCAGCCAGGCTGGGTAGCCTGAGAGAGAGGGCAGGAGGACAGAGAGGGGCCGGAGGGCACTGAGGCAGGGCGATGGGCTGCTGGGTTGCCAGGAGGGTTTTGGCAACAGGCACCTTCTAGCCTAAGGGGTATGAGGGAGCTCCTGCAGGCTCTTGCAGCTGTAGAAACCCAAGAGAGGGACTGTGGAGAAGGGAGGGAAGAGTCTGCTCTCGGCCCTTGCCCTTGCATGCAAGGGTGGCAGGGGTTGGCAGCACTGATTGCTGTCTCAGTAGCCACCCAAAAGTGATGGCTTGTAGGTCAGCAGTGCCAGGGAAAAGCCATATGGCACAGTCAGCTCCAACTGCACCATATCTGAGGGACTCCATCACAGGTGGAGGTTCCCCTGCCTGCCTCTACCCTGCCTGCACCAATGTGGGAGCAGTCCTCAGGGGGTTGAGGTGAAGCTGCTCCCAGCTCTGCATGTGCTCCTGGTGAGCATTTTCATCTGCCTGCCCCCCCAGCTCCCTGCTTTCCCAGGTGCAGCATGGAAAGGGGGCAGTTGGCACAGGGTGGTAGAGGCTCTAGCTGTGGAGATCACCTCTCTCTCCTCTGTTTCCCCAGGTGCAGGTGGAGGCCAGGAAAACCTCCACTGCCAAGCGGCCACCCGCTGTCGTCCGCCGCCCTCCAGCATCTGGCAGTGGGACACCACCTGTCTCCCACACCATGCCTAAGGCTGGGGCTGGCTCCCTCTTCAACAGCCTGCAGCGGCGGGAGCAGGCAAGGGCAGAGCAGGCCCAGCTGCTGACGCTCCAGGGCATCATGGGCGAAAGCTCCCTGCGGCCCACACCGAGGAGCGCCACGGCCCCAGCAACACGTGGCCTCAGAAGTGTGGTCGGAGGAAGGGGGGGCTGGGGCCAGCTGCTGCTGGACCCCGGCTTGGGCAGCTGCTGCTCTATGTCAAGAACCCACTGGTGCAGGACATTGATGCCGAATGCGGGGCAGCGCCCCAGGACCCCTGCCTCTCTGACCCGAAAACCACGTGCCCTCACCTTTCCTTGGGCTCAGTTCTCAGCCTGGAGCTGCCCCGGGACGCAGTGGTCCTGGGGTGCCACCGAGGAGCTACAGCATGGCAGCAGGAGGCAGAGGGGCAGGAGCAGAGGCAGAGTGGGGTGGTGAGGCCACGGGAGCCCCCAGGCACACATGGGGTTGGATGGCAGGAGGAGGTAGATATGGATGGGCGCAGTCCCCAGGGGCCTGGCAAGAGTTTGGAGTCATCCCCCAAGAGTGAGCGAGGAACGTGGTTTGAGGAGGTGAGCTTCAACCCCAGTTACAGCCAGCACAGGGCATACTGTGCTGGGGAGGAGCACCGGAGCCCACAGCACTCCAGCAGCACTGGTAAAGACCTCCTGGACTTGTGGCTGAGCCAGCCGTCCCAGGTTGGCATGCAGCATGAGTGGGTCAGTCGAGAGCGGGATGAGCTGGCCACCCATCTTGGCCAGGACAGCAGCCCCAGTGTCACTGGCAGGGCCAGGCATCGCAAAGCCACTCATCTGGAGCTTGGATCATCCCCTGTGAGAACCCCAGGCAGGGCAGGAGCCATCCCTGGCCCTGCCTGCACACCGCGGCCAGCCAGCAGCAGCCAGCCCAGAAGATCCTCGGCTTCCCCCACTGCCCCTACCCAACTCTCTGTCTTTGAGTGGGCATTGGCCTCTCCACAGCCTCACAGCCCTATGGTGGGCATTGAGGAAGTTTGCCATCCTGCCCACGGGCAGTTTGAGGAAGAGGAGGAGGAGCTGCAGGCCATCTGGGATGGAGCAGATGAGCGACGGACACAGAGCCCACCAGGAGGCAGCTGTGCCAGCCACCGGACAGGGAGCAGGGCAGGCAGCTTGCCCAGCCCCAGCGCTGCTGTTGGTGGGCCCCTCATCCTCTCATCAGCCAACAACCTGCTAGTGGCCAAATTCACCCTTCCCACCACTGCCCGGCTGCTCCACAGCCCGTCAGGAGAGAAGAGCCCCAGAGTTGTGCACAGTGGCAGTGGCAGTCCCAGTGGGCTCAGGGTTTCCCCCAACTTGGAGGATCTGGCGCCTGCAGTCCCCTTGGATAACTCCAGTGCCTGGGATCGGCGGAGGCATGATCAAGAAGAGAGAGAGAGCAATGTAAGAGCCACAGGCTGGGGACTCTCACTCAGAGTTAAGTAGGGGGTTGGGGAACACCCTGGGCAGCAGCTGGGTTACCCACTCCAGCAAATGTGACCTGTGTTTGAGGACTCCCTCACTCCAGTGGCCCCTTTGCTCCAACTGGTGAGGAAGAGCTAGGAGCTGAATTTGGAGTCTCTGCAGCACACACCCCATTGCCAACCCTTAGACTTAGCAAAGCAGTACTTCACCCCAAAAGCCGACAAACAGCCCAGCCCCTGCCCACGCCAGGAAATTGTTCCTGTCATCTCACTCCCACCTCAGCATTGCCCACCAGGGATGAGTCAGATAGACCCCATGTGCCTGGCGGCTGAGCTGGCACCATCATCCCCAATGCAGCTTCACTCACCCTCTGTCCCATTGCAGGTTCCTCCGGGTAAAATGGAGTTTCAGATGATGGAGGGGACACTGGAAAGGAAGCACGTATTGCAGACAGGAGGGAGAAAGGTACATGGCTGTGGGGTTTCTTTGGGACACGGGTGCTGGGACATGGCAGGAAATGTCCAGGTTTTGGGGCAAGAGTGAAGCCAGGGATGCTCCTGGAACTACCACGGCAGTGCTGCTGGCCATGCTGGGAGGGCAGAGCCCCCGAGGGCCTGGGTTGCATTTTGAGTAGCAGGAGACCACCTGTCTCCTCCCAAACCAGTTGACATCACAGCTGTTCCCTGCTTGTGTCCCACAGGCCAGCTGCCGAGCCTGGGGTCTCTTCCATGCCGTGCTGATGAGGCAGACACTGTGCTTCTACCAGGACCGCAGGGACAGCCTCAAGGTGCAGTGGGGGAGATTTGGTCAACATGGGAGGGGGCTGGCAGCAGCATGCCGTTGCCCTCATGGCCAGGAAAGGCAGAGCCATCCAACCCCACCATTGTTCTTGTTTTCCCTTATGCTTCAGAGCTCCGTGGTGGCCCTTCCCCTGAACCTCTCTGGGGCGATCTGCACCCCAGATGCTGAGTACACCAAGAAGACCAACTGCTTCAGGCTTCAGTGAGTCCCTGACCCAGGGCAGTGGGGTCATATAGCCACCACCATCCTCAGTGTGTCCCTGCTGGGGCCAGACACTTACCAATATCCCCAGCCAGGGCCAGCTTGGTTTAGTGCTTAGATGAGTATTTCCTTCTTTCTTTCTCACCTACCTCTCTTCTCTCCTAGTCTGGTGGGGGCTGTGGTATCTGCACCCCACATCTGTCTCATTGCTGACTTGTTGTCCCCTCTTTCTGAAGGCTGCAGGATGGCTCTGAGTACCTCCTGAGGGCCCCCTCCCAGCCCCTCATGAACGAATGGGTCTCAAAGCTGCAGCAAAACTCAGGTGAGCAGCCCTTGCTGGCAGAGCAGAGGCCCAGCTCTGTGTGGTTACCATGCTTGTGCAGCCTCTGCAGAGGGAGTCAGAAGAGAAGCAACAAAACATTATCTCTCTGATTTATGCATCCTCCTAACCTGCCTCAGGAACAGCAGTTCTCTGCTAGGCAGGATCTGGAGGCTTTGTTTTCATACCACATACACAGTTATAAATCAGGAATAGCTCAACTGACGTCAGTGGTGCCTCAGCAGCAAAAAGTCTGTGTCAGTGCAATTATAATTGTGCCTTGGTCTTCCTCCATCTACTCTACGGGGCCTGGAAACGCCTTGCTTGCCCTTCAGGCAAGGAGACCTGTAATACTGAGGTTTTCCTGCTGCTGTACCCACACCTGAGGAGGTTCAAGCCCTGCCATGAAATCTAAGGCTTGTTGGCAGGACCTACAGGAGGAGGTTGGAGAAGCTGGAAGCACGGGCACCTGGAGCAGGGACTGGCTTTGTGGGATAGTCCTGTGCACTGCTAGCACCCAGCAGGATGTTTGCTGTGCCCCCAGGTTTCCCTGAAGTGGATTACTTCCAGGCAGCGGCACAGCGTGTCGAGGGCACTGGCGGTACTGGGGGGTGAGTAGCCAGGAGCTGGTTAGCCAGCTCTCACTACAACTCCCACATTTGCCGGTGTGCACTGCTCCAGCAGGACATCGGTGGGCCAGACTGGTTTAGCTAAATCTCTGCTGCTTTCAGTTTCAGCAAGGTCCCCAGCCCTGGGAGCTCCCACCTCCAGGGACATAATCAGGTCATGACTGCCAGGAGCCAGGAGATCGTGGTGTTACCCTGCTCAACCACCCGGCTGCAGAGGTCTCTGGACAGCCAGGATGGCCCAACCAAGGGGACTGTTGCAGCAGCAGGTGACTTTCTATCTGGATGGGTTGCCACTGTCCCCGAACTCCTCTCTCCAGCTCAGGGAGGTACAAGGTAGCCAACTGGCAGAGGCTGAAGGCTGTCGGTCAGTCTTGAACTTAGCGGTATCTGGGCCAGGAGTCCCAGGGCATAGGGCTTGGGGAAGGGACCAGTTATTACTTCCTTTGGCTTCCTGGGATAATGAGATAATACATTTCCCTGTTCTCTTTGGGGCTGACACGGGGGGTGTCCTGTGGAGGCCTTGCTTTGTGACATGTCTCCATTCTGCTTCAGAGAATGCTCAGGGGACTGGGCACAAGGAGCAGCAGTGGTCACCCAGGGGGTCACCCGGGCTGTGGGACAACATCTGCCAAGAAGACGACTATGGGCTGGTGGCCAACAAGAGGAGGTCCTACTCCTTTACCTCAGGTACGGCTCTAGTTTCACTGTCACTGCCAGGAGATGGCACCACTGCCTTTGTTCTCACAGACAGCCAAGGGCACATGCCATGCTGCTCCAGCACCCACATGATCCTATATACCTGTGCCCTGGGCTGCAGCCCCCCACTTGGGGAGGGCTCTGAGGGGCTGGCAGGGCCTGCTGGCACCCTGCCCTCCCCGCTGACTGCTCCTTCTTGCAGCGACCTACCAGAAGATCACCCCAGTGGTCATGCCCAAGGAGCCAGTGGAGGCTGGGAGCAGCTACTCAGTCACCCTGTACATAGGGGAGCAAGTGCCAGCCATGCCCCGGGCACGCTGTCACTCCTTTGTGGCTCAAACAGGGAGCCCCCGGGACACGCTAGGGGAGAAGACCACCAGCCCCCTTCGCCCCAAGAACAAATCTGTTTTCAAGAAATTCTTTGGGAAGAAAGAGTGAGCCCCAGCCACAGGGGAAAAAGGTCCTAGCCTGCCTTTTATCCTTCTCTGGGTACCATCCCGGCATGGTCTCTGCTCCCAGTGCCAGTTCACAGCTCGCTGCCTCCCCGTGGGAGAGAGGCTGTGGCAAGCAGCTCCACTTCAGCCAGCCTCAGGGCTGCACTGTGCCCCAGCCACCACAACCCCTGGCCTCAGCCTGGTGCTGAGCACCCCTCCTGCCCAGTGTTCTCACTGAGTGCCACTGGCTCCCCAGGCATCCTGCCGACACACAGCATAAGCAGAGGGGGATGGATGATTGTTTTTATTAAAAAATAAACAGCCGCTTAGTCTGGGATCTCGTTCATCCAGCAGCACTCATCTGCACAGGAGGGGCTCTGCGAGGTGGTCCTTGCTAAGGAGTGGGGGGAGCTTCAGTTGAGAAGGGCCCTGCAGCAGGCTTTAGTCTTGCTTGGGAAGAAGCCTGAGCAGTCTGGTGCCTCTCACAAAGATGCTTTGTCCTGTGATTCTTCTGTGCCTGCACCCAGCCCAGATAATCCTAGAGGGCACCTGGGCCCCTTTTCCCTGCCATGGGAGCTCGGTGGGGAAATCACTACCTACAGAGTAAATCCTGCTGCCTGCAGAGCCCTGCCAGGCCTGCCCTGCCTCTCTCTCAGAATGGCTGCCAGCCCAGGTCACAGCAGGTGAATGCTGTGTGCCATGGAGGGGGCCAGGGGAATGTGGCTGGACCTCCAGGGCTTCCTGCAGCCCAGATATTTTTGAAGTAACTTCACCAAGCCACACCGGTTTCAGCTGCCCCAGTACCTGCCTGGACTGGGAAGGGGAAAGAGCAGCTGGTACAACCTGCCTTGAGCATGTACCAGCCCTGGGGGGAGAAGAGGAAGTTTCCAGGGACGTGGGTAGCAGGGCCTCTCCCTGGCAGGCTGCGAAGCTCGGCCATGCACACCGCTCGCCTCCTCAAACACATTGTAGGGCTTAAAATAGAAGTGCTGGCTGCAGCCCAGCTCTGCAGGGGCTGTGAGAGGAGAAATGCTCCTGCCACTCCATCTCCCTCATACAGTGTTCCTGGGGCTGGGGACAGGCAACGAGGTAGAGGTGGGCACACCAGTGTCACCAACAGAGGGGCTTTCTCCACATTCCCAGTGAGGTGTGGGAAGAAATGCTGGTGAGAGTGCTGGTGTGTGGGCAGGAGTGTGCTTTCTCTGCTTCCCCTCTGCCTTCCCACCCTCTGCTTGGCTCCATCACTCTTGGCTCTGACACCTGTTTTCCTCCGACACCAAAGCTCAGCTGCCTGCACTTCCTTAATGGGAAGAGACGAGTCGGATAGGAGGGCTGGGCAGTGGCCAGGCCTGGCCAGGCCAGGGAGGAGGCCAAGGCACAGCATTCTGGCTCCAGCCGCACATACCAGGAGAGCAGCTGGTGGGCTGGTGCCAGTTCATTCCTGAGCAGCTGAGGGGCCCTGCAGAGGGGGCAGTGGGTGCAGGGTGCTCTACTGAAGGCCCCCCCGCTGGCCCCCGGGGGTCGATGCTGACCAATGGTGGGGTGGGAGCTCAGCAAGTGCCACACCATGGCCCGAGTCCAGCACAGCAGCATGGAGTGACATGGGCCACCAGAGAGATGACCCCATCCCAGGGATAATGCTGGCACATGCAGCACCGCTCTCGGTGCTCCCCACTGTCCCCCCAAGGTGGCTGTCCAACACAGCCTCCCCTCTCTCCTTCCCTTTACTGGCAGTTGGCCCCACTGCAACCCTCTGACGAATCCCGCTTATAGTTCTATGGCAGAAGCCAATTCCTGCCCCCACCCGCTAATCTGCCCGTGCACGCAGCCTCCACCTGCTAAGCCAGCGGAAGCTGTGCTCAGCCAGCCCCAGCCAGCACCAGGGCTCTGAAACCCACTCCAGCTGCAGAGCCTGTGGGGTGGCAAAGCCTCCACACCTTGGTTCTGCTGCTGTTCTGGGAAACCCTGAGCCTGCAGTGAGGAGATTGCAGACAGCATCATCATCTGGCACCAGGAGAGCTGAGCCATCGAGGTAAGGGCAGGGTGCAGGCAGGGAGGTGAGCAGAGTATGCACTGTCCCGACTGTGCCTCGTTTCCCTCGGTACCAGGAAAGGGTGTCTGGCTCCAACTCCCTCTACTGAGCCAAGGTCTTGTCCTGCATTTTGGCTACTCGGCAGTTCTGCTGCAAGGTCACTGTGCAGCTGGGGGCCTGTGCTGAGCTCTGTAGCCATCTCACACTGCCTCCAGTCTGAGACTGGAGCTTTCCAGTCCCATAGCTGCAAGTAGGGTTTGGAGCCTGGCACCGGTGCAGGGGGGAGCGAAAAGGGGAGAAGCAGTGGCGGGACTAGCTGCCAGCGCCTGCCCTCCTTGCCTGGGCAAACTGGTAGCACGGCGATGCCCCCTTCCCGGGGCAGGCACCCCCGCCTGCTCCAGCGGGAGGGAAAGCAATGGGAAAAGCCGTAGCACCGGCCATCCCTGTGCCGAGGCTGCGGCAGCGTGGCGAGCGCTGCAGCATCCCTCTCGCTGGTGCGGACGCTGCCGCTGCGGGCAGCGGGGCAGAGCGGGGTGCGAGGAGTGAGAACACCGGGCTGCAGGGCAGGCGGCCCCGAAGCTGAGGGCTGTCCCAGCCCGCCCGCGAGGTGCCCTTGGCGCGTCGGGCAGCGCTAGGACCCGGCGTGCCGCGGCCGGCGCCGCTGGCACCGGGCGCTGCGGGACGGGACCGTGCCGTGCCGGCGGCGGCGCCGCGGGAAGGAGCCGGCAGCGCCCGGGGAAACATGTAAGCGACGCGGCGGAGCCCCGGCTGCCACGGGAGCGGGTGGGTGCTGGGGCGGACCGGGGCCGCCGGCAGCGGCGGCGGCAGCGCTCGGGGAAGCCCTGGCAGCCGTCCCGCGGCCGTGCGGGGCAGCCCGGGATGAGGGGGTGGCAGGCTGTCCCACCGGCTCTCCGACCCCGGCACGCTCGGCCCCGCTCCTGCCGGTGATGGGTGCTGCTGTTTTCCCTTCCCCTCCCTCTGCGGGACCCCCGCGGGGTTGGGCAGGGGGCCCGTCCCGAGAGCGCAGTGCCACGGGGCGGTAAAGGCCTCCCCGCCGCCACCCCCCAGCACAGGGGGGTGGTGTTTGGTTACCCTGCCCGTGCGGATGTCACTCCAGGGCTGACACGGCCTCTGCTTACGGCCCCGTCGCCTTCCTGTGTCAGTCCCAGCCTTCCGTGATCGCTGGCTTCCTCCCTGCCCCGATAGTCACGTATGTTCCTGTATAGCCCTGGGGGTGCCTGCAACCACAGGGAACACTGCCAGCGAGCCTTCCACGTTCCTGGAGGCCCTGGGGCTGTGCCATCGCTTGCCTCCCTGCCAGAGCTTCTTCTGCAGCCCCATTCGCCTCTCAGAGGCCTTTTGTCCCAATAGCTGGGCACTCTCCCATGACCCTTTCTATTTGTGGGCTGACCACTGGGAGCTTGCCCTCCGCCCTTGAACCTATCTATCCCCATGCAGCTCCTTTCTCCCCAGGCACCATTCCCAGCTGCCCTCAGCGTGATTTGGCCCAGTGCAGAGGTCCTGGCTGCCCTCAGAGTCCGAGGCATGGCCTCAGGCTTATTTGGAGGACCCTGACCTCATGTGCAGGGTGAGAGAGAGATGAAGGTGCAGGCAGAGCAGGGTTCGTGGCATGGCCTTTGACTCCACATCTGTGGTGCCTCTCCAGGTCAGGGCACTTCTCTGCTGTCCCCCTAAAGGTCTTAATGCAAAAGGTAAGAAAACAGGCTCCCCATTGCTGCTTGGTGTCCTTATCCCTTCACTGCCCTGGTGCTCTCTTGGAGAGGAAATAGGTGCTGTAGGGGCCGCAATGGATGGGGAAATGCAGGGAGCAGGGGAAGCTGGCACAACTGGGTGGTAGGAGATAGTGAAACTCATCTGTCATGGTCCTCAGGCTCGTGCAGGAAGATGATGGAGGATGCAGTGGAGGAGCACAGCCACGTGCTGCTGCTGGCCTGCTAGCACTGCACCACCTATCTCATGTACAGATTTACAAGAAGCCCCCACTCCCTGCCAGGAGTGGCTGGAGCATCCCTGAAGGCAAGCTGCATGGCACTGGGAGCAGCAGGATGGGAGATGCAGGCAGCAGTGGCAGAGCAGCCTGTCCTGCTTCAGAGCGGGCAGCCCTGCCCTGAGCTACCATCAGCAGCGAGCCACTCCAAGGCTCTCTGGGAAGCTAGGCTTTTGTGGAGCTCTTTTTCTTCTTGAGAAGCCTGGCTTTTTGCAGGGAGCCCAGCACCATCATGACTGCAGATACAAAGCAGGGCCAGCAGCAGTACTGCCGGGCACTGCACAGCAGCTCAGCTCTGCTGTGAAGCTTCCCAGCTCTTCAATACCGAGACACAGCACTAGCAAAAACCAGGTGAGACTTTTCTACCTGCTTGCACATTGTGGAGATGGCAGATTCTGTGGGGAGAGGGGAGAAGACAGAAAGTAGGTGATGTCTGCAGCTTCTCCTCAGAGGGAGGTCTTTTTGGGAAGCCAGCCACCACTGTAGTCAGGGCTGACTTTTGTCTTCTGGCTTGCCAGAAAGAAGATTTACTGGGTCTGGGCAGCAGTGTTAGAAGAGCAGGCTGTTTCCCTGGAGACTGAGTCCCTGTCAGTTGAGTATGGAGTCAGCCTGAGGCCATGAGCCCCTGGGAAGGTAGTGACAGGAACCCCTCTTGTCCCTGATGCACTTGGCCAGTGGCACAAAGGTGCTCCTGGATGCCTTATAGCCCAGGACCAAGGGGAGAAGCTGGCAAGCTGCCTTTTGAGAAGTAAGCTATGCTGAGGAGGTGCACCTCATGCCTTTCTGCGTCCCATCCCATCCCTGTGAGATTCAGGGTTCTCCAAGGATCACCCAGGACCTCTTTCTCTGTGGCCCACAGCTGAGCAGCAAGCACAGCCCTACAGGACAGGTACTGTGTTCAGGGTGATTGTCACTGTGTTGTATCATCATGTGATCCACCCTGACCCTGAAATCTGCTTCTTAACATTATCTCTGTCCTTCTGCACAGTGTGTTACCTACAAGCAAACTGCCCTGCTCCTTCAAACAGCCTTCAAACAAACAGGTTGAGCTTCTTCCCTGACTTACCTGAAACTTCCCTGCTTACCCCCAGATTTCCTGGCTCCCACTCATCCCCACTCCCCCATGGGTTAGCACAGCACACACAACAAGCCCAAACTTTGGGTTGCATTGTCCCACTTTGCTCACTTGGCTCCCAGTGCCAGTGATGCCCCCGTGCCCCTGCTGCAGCTCACTGCCTCCTCATCCTCACAGTGAACCCAGCACTCAGCCCTGTGCCTGTCCTTCCCTA